CCTGCCTCAGCCTCCCGAGTGCTGAGATTACAGGTGTGTGCAAACACACCGGGCTTAAAATGGCATTTTAAAGACAATCATAAAAAAAAAAAAAAGACAATCATTACTACATTACTTAAAAGGAGGAAGAAAAGCAAAAGCTGTTTTTATACAAATTTAAGTTGACTTCAATGTAGAAACCATTTATCAATTTTGAAGGGGGAAAATCCCCCAAAATTCTAAATACACCTTTACAGTAATACATATTTCTTGGAGGCAGCTTTCAGCCATCAACTGGCAGTATCCTAAAATTTGGGGGGGGTGGTTGTCGTGCTATGTAATCCAGGCTGGACTCCCAACTGGTCCTGATCCTCCTGCCTCAGCCTGTGTGCTGAGATTACAGGCACTCCATCACACCCAGGCTCCCTTATTTAACTCCCAGTCAAGTAAGTCCTTCCTTTCTTTTTTTGAGACAGGGTCTGGATATGTAGTTTAGGCTGGCTTTTTACACTGTGTAGCCCAGGTTGGCCTAGAACTCCAAAATCCTCCTGCCTCAGCTTCCTGAGTGTGGGAATTACAGGCATGCACCACCTCTGACTTAGTAAATCCTTTAAAGTGTATTACTTTGTAAGTAAAATAACTATTCCTTTTCAATTGTTCTCCACAGAGAACTATTTAGAGCAGTTAGGATCCTCTCCTCTCCCCTTAAACTATAAAATCAGTTCTCACATCTGAAAAATTAAGTATTTTCCTGAAAAGCATGGAAGGGCTGGAAAAGGCTATGGTTTGAGTTCTTAATTGGTTAAAATCCTTTAACACAACAAAGATATGGCTGCTAGAGACTCTGTAATTACCTCAACGTAAATTTTAGCTCTTTAAGCAACAAAAAGTTAATCACACACCTAGTTCTTTCTAAGAGAATAAGGGGACCTCACCTAAGACTTTATGTGAAACACACAAGCACACATGGTCCACAAGTCTCTCTGGACACGTGCAGTACTACCCGCTTCATGATAACTCCTGGCTGCCAAGGAAGCGGTTGAGTTTTAGCAACCTGAACAGTTTTTTAGGAGACGGGAGTTAGTAAGCAGTTTGGAGAGACCCATACTCCAAAAACCCAGGGAGACGGGGGAAGCAAGCTGCAGTGCCGGCTAGGCCTCCCTGTGGTCGCCTGGCAGGCCCGCGCAGGGCCGCGTGGTGCCGCGGGCCCAGAGTCCGCGCAGCCCCCACCACAGGTGCGCCCGGCCCAGCGTGGCCACCGCGGGGTCCACACCTCCAGCATCCGCCTGGCTGCGCGCTCCCAGCGCCTCAGGGCCTAGCGCTAAGTTGCGGAGTTAGGACCGACCCGGGCCGCCCAAGGGGGGAAAGTAGGGTTTCGGACATCGGCAAGCTGAGGAACCGTTCAGAGGTGGGGGAAACGGTCATTTGGGGCAAAAATGTCCTCCACTCGCCAACAGTAACCGGAACGAAGACCTAGGACCTCCCACTCCAAGGCCAGGGACGACCGCCCCACTGAGAAGCCCAAAGGGCCGCATGCGGGGGAAGGGCGGGCAGCTCCTTGCTTCCCGGCAGCGCGGGAGCCCCCCGTGCGGCCTGGCCTCACTCCGGGGCGACATTCCCTCGGCGGGATGTCGCACTCACATTGTGAACGGGGCAGGGGGACGGGCGAGCGGGTGGGCGGGCCTCTAGCGGCGTCTGCTGGGGAATCGATTCCTCTCCGGTGGCGACTCGGCGTTGTCTCCCCTGGTCGCGGCCTCTGCTCGCTCCCCTCAGGCGACGGCGACGGCGGGCTCGACCTGGCTCCCCACAATGCACCGCGCAGAGAGAGCGACTCTTTGGTCGCAGAGGAGAGGAAAGTGTAGGAAAAGGGGCGCGAGGACGGAGAAAGAACGTGCGTGCGTGAGAGCGAGGGGTGGTGAGGCCGGGCGGCGGCTGGTGACGCAGCAAAATGCCCGGGCCGAACGTCGCGCGTGCGCAGTCTTTGTTTTCAGGCTCTCCTGCGCGGCTTTCTAGAGATATCTACGGAAAGGGCGGGGCCTCCCAGCTCCTTCGCGAGGCTTCCTGGCGCCAGCCCCACCCTTCGGTGCTCACCCCCCACCTTCCCCGCACGCCTCATTCCCGCCTCTCCTTCCGCACTCCCCTCTCGTGTTAGGCAACCGTTGGCTTCCTAACCGCCCGGCGATGCGCTGCGGGCGGGTTCCCGGAGCGCTGTTCGCATTGCCTGAGGAAAGCTGATGCGAAGGGACGTAGAGTCAGGAGCCTTGATAAGTGAACTGAAGCATTGGTTACTCAGGCCACTGAGGAAAAGGTCTTTCGCAAAAAGATGCGAAAAACCGGTGCTGCTGAAAGTGGCGAAGGGCTAACTTGAGAATTGGGCCTGGAGCTGCCAGCGTTCGCCCTGGTCTTGAGGGCTGGAGCCCCCGTCCCGGACTGCGGAAGGACGTTCGCCCTTGGGAGCGGCCTTTGCTCCAACGTTGAGACGCTAGTACTGACGGTGGGACAGGAAGGGTCATTAAGGAGAGTGGAACTTGCAGTCTCCGGGACGCCGATTGGCACAGGGGTCCCCCATCTGCTGTACTCCTCTAGCTCTTGAGCGGTGGCTGTGCGCAGTGCTCTGGGCTGAGGTCCAGAGAAAATCAAGACAGTTCTTGCTCACCAAAGACCCCCAATGGTGGAGGAAAGGCCACACCAGTGCAGCGCTATTTAGAACACGGAGGCCTGGGGCCGGGGATTTAGCTCAGTGCTTCCACCACCTGCCTTGCAAGCTCAAGGTCCCGAGTTCGCTGCCTGGTATTAAAAAACAAAAACACGGAAGCCCAAAGAAACTGCCAGAAAGCGCTTGGAAATGCGTTTGGGGCGTCATATTACATTATAAGGTGTTAGTGGTACTGCGGAATTTGGATCCTAGGCACCAATTACACAAAAAGAGGAGGTGAAGCCTGCGTGTGGTGATGCACACCTGTAATCCCAGCACCTTGGGAGGGTACAATAAAATGATTCAAGCCCAGGGTAGGAGACCTAGCAAGACCCTGTCACAAAAGTTCAAAAAGGGCTGGGGCTGTACCTCAGTGTGAAGACCCTGAATTCAGTCCCTAATATAAAACAGTCCCTGTACTGTTCATTTTTTCCCAATTGAATTAAAAGTGTAAATACCATAACTCAATTTGGACAAAGCCAAAACCTGACAGTTTTGCAGATTAGATTTGATCTGCAGGCCCTAATTTGCCAGTGTTTGGCCTAGCAAATCCAAAAAAATAATTCAAGGTAAATTTTGATGGTATTTGCCTGTAATCCCAAACTCAGAAGGTGACACAGGAAGATCGAAAATTCAAGACCAGCCTAGACAAAAATAAATTTAAAAATCCAGGTGTGATGCCACACACCTGAAATCCTAGCACCCTGGGAAGCTAAAACCTAAGGGATGCCCAAATTGGCCTGGTGGTGCAAGGCCATAATCCCAGCGTTTGGGAGCCTGAGGCAAGAGGATTGCAGCAAGTTCAAGGCCAGGCTGAGCTACATAGTTCAATGCTAGTCAGAATTACGTAGTGAGAGTCTGTCCAAAAGAAAAAAAAGAAACAAAATCAAAGCTGGAGCCCAGCCTGAGTTATTTAGCTTAGTATAAAGGCCCTGAGTTCAATCCCTAGTGCCAGGCAGAATGGGGGGGGGGGGGGGAAGGTAGGTCACAATCAAATAATGTAATGGCACTGAATATCAGTTTGTGTTCATCTTGTATCTCTGATGGGAAGCTACTGAAGTTTTTTAAAAGTACACCTAGGGGCTGAGGATTTAGCTCAGTGGTTCGATGCCTGTTGCACAAGCACAAGGACCCCAGTTCGATCCCTGGTACCAAAAAATAAAGTAACACTCTTGGGCCAGGGATTTAGCTTGGTGGTTCCACTGCCTGTCTCTTAAGTGCAAGATCCAGAGTTTGATTCCCCGGTACCAAAAAAAAATAAAGTAACACTTAAAAAAATAAAGTTTTCTTGTTTTCTGGAAATAGTTTGCTAACAAGATATAAAACATGAAGCTGATCATGGTGGCCCAGGCCTATAGTCCTAGCACTCAGGAGGCAGAGGTAGAAGGCTCACCATGAATTCTATGGCAGCCTGGGCTACATAGTTCAAAGCTAACCTGGACTGCAGAGTGAGACCCTGTCTCAAAAAAATAAAAGGGTGGGTGGGCCGGGGATTTAACTCAGTGGTTTCGCCTCCTGCTGCGCAAGCGGAAGGACCCAATTTCAATACCCCAGTACAAAAAAAAAGGCTGGGTATGGTAGCACATCCCTGTAATCTCAGCACTAGGAAGGCTGAGACAGGAAGATCATAGTGAGTTTGAGCCCAGTCTGAGCTACATAGTTCAAGGCCAGTCTGAATTACACAGCCAGACCCTGTCTCTTTCACACACACATACAAGACCCGCCTCGGGTATGTGGTGAGACCCTGTCTCAAACACAAAACAACAAAATAAGAAAGTTTTATCATATTTGAAACATGAGAGAAGCCCATGCAAAGGAAAATTAACAGGCTAACAGAACAAATCTTGCATGAGGTCAGTTAGGAGAGGTTAAAAGATACAGGAAAGGAAAAAAAGTCCCTAGGATGAGGGAAAATAAAAGAGGCTAGGCATGGTGGCCCAGGACTAGGAAAGCTGAGGCAGGAGAAGCACCATAAGTTCGAGGCACATAAGCATTTGCCACCACACCCAGTGGTGGTAGCTTCTTGTCCCTAGAATGGAACAATGAACCAAATTCAGAAGCTACGAGGGCTGGGGATTTAGCTCAGTGGTTCCACCACCTGCCTCAAAAGCTCAAGGTCCCAGGTTCAATCCCTGGTACAAAAAAAAAAAAAAAAAAAATCACTACATCAGAAACTATGACAAAACTAAGAACCCTGCAAGTGTTACTAGAAATTGGATGGCTGAGACAGGAGGATTGCCATGAGTTTGAGGTCAGCCTGGGCTACATAGTGAGTTCAAGGCCAGCCTGAACTACACATAGCAAGACCCTGTCTCAAAAAAAAAAAAAAAAGGTTTTTCTTACTTAGAAATTGCTACTAGAACTTCATTATTTCTAACTATATTTTAACTCATTCTCCATACAAAGTGCAAAGAACAAAATAATACAGTAAATCCAAAGCAGTTTAAAATACACAGATTAAAAAAAAAAAACAGATTCATACACCTGTAATCCCAGCAGTCAGGAGGATGAGGCGGGAGGATCATCACAAATCAAGGCCAGTCTGGGCTACATAGTGAGTTCAAAGCCAGCCTGAACTACACAAGGAGACCTTGTCTCAAGAAACAAACGAAAGGGCCTGGGATGTAACTCACTGGTGCCGTACCTGCCTGCCAAGTGCAAGGTCTTGAGTTTGATTTCTGGTACAAACAAACAAAAAACCCAAAAAGCAAACTAACAAACAAACATACAGATTTTCAGCAAGTTAAAAATTTGCTCTGTATATCAATAAATATCACTAAATTATGATGTACTATGACCAGCTTTGGGCCTCTTCCCATTTCTTAACCTTTCCAATTGTTTGGAATTATAAAAATTCTCAGAATTAACTTCTACAGCCTAACTTTACTGGCTTTAAAGTTGAGGACAGTCTTACTTGGTTTTTTTTTTTTTTTGTGGTACCGGGGATCGAACTCGGGTCCTTGAGCTTGGGCAGCAGGTGGCAAAACCACTGAGCTAAATCCCCAGCCCACAACTTGGGTTTTTTTTGTTGTTTTTTTTGGTACTGGGGATTGAACTCCAGACCTTGCACTTGCAAGGCAGGCACTGGAACCACTGAGCTAAATCCCCAATCCCTTACTTGGTTTTATCATCGTGTTTAGAGTTGATCTCTTTTTAGACTAAGAACAAAGTTTAAACACCTTTCTCAACTGCCCACAGTCTGTGCGTGTAAACTTGAACTCAAGAATTTGAGATAGGGGCTGGGGATTTAGCTCAGTGGTGCCTCCACCTGCCTCGTAACCAAAAAGTCCTAAGTTCGATCCCTAGTACCAAGAAGAAAAAAAAAAAGAATTTCAGGGAAATAGCTGGACCTCTAAGCCCAGCTACTCTGGAGGCTAAAGCAGTAAGATCATAAATTCAAAGTCGGGCCAGAGATGTAGCTCAGCAGCACTGTACCTGCTTGGCAACCACAAGGTCCTGAGTTTGATTCCCGATACTGGAAAAATAAATAAATAAATAGATTCAAAGTCAATCACCAGGCATCTTAGTACATGCTTGTCACACCAGGACTTGGGAGGCTGAGCCAGGAGGATCACTGCAAGTTCGAGGGCAGCCTGGGCTACATAGCAACTTCAAGGCTAGCCTGAACTGTGTAGTGAGACCCTATCTCAAAAAGAAAAAAAAAAAGATCAGCCTAGAAAAGGAAAGAAATTAGAAAGAAGAAATGTCTCCAAGAAAAGAAAAAAAATTAGAGGAAAATGTGAAAGGCTGGAACTCTAATCTAGGGCCTTGTGCATGCTATGCAAACTCTGAGCTACACTCCTATGCTGGGCATGGTGTTACATGCCTACAATTCCAGAACTCAGGAGGCTGAGGCAGAAGAATTGTTGTGAGTTCCAAGACAGGATAGGCCACACAGTGAACTCGAGGCCAACCTGAACTACATAGTGAGACTCTATCTCAAACAAAAACAAAACACAACAACAACAAAAAAGTTTCTACACAACAATTATAAAATTGGGCAATGAGCCAGGCATGGTGGCGAAAGGCTGTAATTCCAGCACTTGGGAGGCTGAGGCAGGAGGATCACTGCAAGTTTGAGGCCAGCCTGGCCATAGTGAGTTCAGGACCAGCCTGAACTACAAAGTGAGACCCTGTCTCAAAAAAAAAAAAAAAAAAAAAAGAAGAAGAAATTTTAAACTTTGCTAATTATTTTTTATATTGTAGGATAAGGCAAGGTAAATCAATAATAGCTTAACAACTTTAACAATCAGACTTTTTTTAGGGGAAAAGAGA